CCAGTCTCCCTTACATCCATCCTGTCTCCATCTCCAGCTGCATCTCCCTTGCTGCTACATCTGCACCTCAACTACCACTCTGCCCATCCAGGGCCTCAACAAGGACATATCCCCTTCCACCTGCAGCTCACGCATCACCTCTGCCACCATCTACTGCCCTTTCCTGGAGATACAGCACTCAACACATCATCTCCAAGTGGGGACTCACAGGCCATGTCACCATCTCAGGGCCATTGGGGCCACCAAGCTGTACTGCGTCCCACAGTCCCCACTGACCATCTGCCTCGAGAAGAGCTCCCAACCCTGTAAGAAATCTCCGGGATCCCCAGCCCCTTGACACTAGCACAGCACCCACAGCCTGACAGCCCCACGGCAGCAGCAGCTGCTGCCCCACCTGCTCATCTTGCAGGTGAGGGCACCCCCATCATCTTGCAGCAAACAAAGCAGCGCTGGAGACACCACAGCAGCCCCTCAGCAGCACGCTCGCGGCTGCGTGGCCACCCCACTGCTCCATACTGGGGCAGGGATGGGGCACTGCCACAGCACCGCCCCAAACACGCCTGCTGCCCCTGGCTCCCTCTCCACCCAAAGCTTTAGGGAGTGCTGTGAGAATTCACCTGGCAGCAGGTGTGGCCACACAACTTGTTCCTCACAGCTCTGCCCCCACAAATACACACATCCTCTCCCTCACCAATACATCACACAAACTTGAGACACACACAAAATAACAGAGCCAAGGCCACCGGGCATTACGCCCCTCTGTAGGGCCAGGAAAGTCTCCATGCAGGATCACCCCAAGGCCCTCCTCACTGCCTGCCAAGCTTGCTCAAGGGCACAACAAGGCAATCTTAGATGACCCAGTAGGTGCCCACAGCACAACCTGACCCCCCCTTTCCACCTCCTCCACAGAACAGAGCACAAGAGCCTCAACACAGAAGGCACCAGGGCCTGGGCTGCCACTGCCCTTGGGCCTGATGCCTGACCACTTGGAAGAAAAACAATCCAAGCTCTTGGAGAGTCAGATCCCCACGGTGAGCACTGCCCAAACCAACCGCTCATTCTGCTGCTGGCATGGCCAGGAGAAAATGCCACGCCAGCAGCGTGCCAGAAGGCAGAGCCTGTCCCCGGCTGCAGCTCCCATGGAACCAGGCATCACCATGTGCTGGGCACACCATGGTTTACAAAGAGCCTGCACTGCTCACAAGCTCCAGGGACGTGATGCACGTCCTCTCCTGCTCTGGCCAGGCCTGCACCCGCTGCAGAGAATGCAGCACCTGCCAGAAGAACATGCAAGCACACAGAAAGGAAGGACAAGTGCCAAGGTCTCTGGCACTTGTTCCTGCCATGCCCAGGAGACCACAGATGCTGCCCAGGAGCCACGGCTTGGCCACACAAGCTCATATCGCTTCTGATCGCATTGCTGATGTTTCCATGTTTTGTCTACAAAAAATGCTATTCCGTTCCCTTTCAGACCTGCATTCCCACTATGGTTGCACCAAATCTTCACTCCTGACCAGTCTCCCTTACATCCATCCTGTCTCCATCTCCAGCTGCATCTCCCTTGCTGCTACATCTGCACCTCAACTACCACTCTGCCCATCCAGGGCCTCAACAAGGACATATCCCCTTCCACCTGCAGCTCACGCATCACCTCTGCCACCATCTACTGCCCTTTCCTGGAGATACAGCACTCAACACATCATCTCCAAGTGGGGACTCACAGGCCATGTCACCATCTCAGGGCCATTGGGGCCACCAAGCTGTACTGCGTCCCACAGTCCCCACTGACCATCTGCCTTGACAAGAGCTCCCAACCCTGTAAGAAATCTCCGGGATCCCCAGCCCCTTGACACTAGCACAGCACCCACAGCCTGACAGCCCCACGGCAGCAGCAGCTGCTGCCCCACCTGCTCATCTTGCAGGTGAGGGCACCCCCATCATCTTGCAGCAAACAAAGCAGCACTGGAGACACCACAGCAGCCCCTCAGCAGCACGCTCGCGGCTGCGTGGCCACCCCACTGCTCCGCACTGGGGCAGGGACGGGGCACTGCCACAGCACCGCCCCAAACATGCCTGCTGCTCCTGACTCACTCTCCACTCAAAGCTTTAGGGAGTGCCGTGAGAATTCACCTGGCAGCAGGTGTGGCCACACAACTTGTTCCTCACAGCTCTGCAACCACAAATACCCACATCCTCCCCCTCACCAATACATCACACAAACTGGAGACACACAGAAAGCAACAGAGCCAAGGCCACTGGCACGAGTCCCTGTGCAGGGCTATGCAAGTGTCCATGCAAGAACATCCCAACCCTTCTCTGTCCCTGCCATGCTGCCTCAGGGCACACCAAGGCAGCCTTAGATGACCCAGCAAGCGCCCAGAGCCCAGCCTGTCCCCACTGCACCCACACAGGAGGTACATTCACAACACCTCCCTCACTTTACATCTGAGAGACGCAGAAACACCCAAAACCCTGACATCTTTCCCAAATGTAGCAGCAACAGCCTGCAGACCTTTTAACTTTTCGGCCCCCAAACCCACGAAGACCCAGAAACATATCTCTCACATCCAACACTGCCCCATGGGCTGCAAAAACCACCACATAGATCCCCAAACCAGAAACAACCACTAAGCCAGCAAAAAAGGAGCAAAATGCTGCTTAGCACTTTGCTCCAGGCTGGTCTGACACAGCACTCTGATGCTGAACCCAAAATGGGTCTGGTGAGCACAAAGAAAAGGGAACACCCAAACTTGGAAGAGCTGCCAGTTACAGTGGGGCTGTGAACACAGCAAATGGAGGTGGAGGACCTCAAAGTGGAGGGAGGACCGTTCAAATGGGGAGGGGGGGACACCCCTGTCGCCGTGTCCTCTTTGTGAGCAACCTGTCACTCCTGATCAGCCCTGACACAATGGATGGCAAGGGACACCCTCCTGTGCCCCTGGCTATAGGAGGACGGCTACGGTTGTAAGCCACAAGTCAGAGAAGGCACTGGCAGATGATGGTGGAGGAGGAAGGAGTTGACTCTTCCCAGGGTTTCAGCCAAGGTTTATTGTGAACTCTGGGGCAGGGGGGAAGCCCTACGCCTCAGCGTGACCAGGTACGGAAGAGCACAGACTGAGCTCTCACAACAAGTTTTAGACGGGGGTGGAAACAAAGGACAGATTCATACAACCAATGGGAAGAACTGGGGGCGTGGAAAACGGGGAGATAGATAAGAGAAGGCACAAATTGGGAAGCACCTTGAGGGAGGACCCTGACCTCTGACCAATCACTCTGTGCCCCTGATGGAAGGTTCTGGAAAGAGGAGATGGGGGTCCATGTGACTGACAGAGGCCCAGGGAAGAGACTGGGGAATGAATTCAGCAGAAAATTGGGGATGGTAGAGGCTTGTGGGGGAGTGGAGAGGCTTGACATAGGGGAGGAGGGAAGCAACTTGGGGGAGTACATGGATGAAACCATTACAAACTGAAATAAAATAACACAACACACAGAAACAACTCTGACTGCCATACAAACAAAAGTAATTTAATTAAAACCTTAAAGGCTGATCCAAAACCATGGTTATAGAAGGTGGAACAGCCATTATCTGGACAAGCCTTCCAGCACTGTCCCTTTTGCTTTGCTGACTTTTTGTGAGTTCTCAAGAAAACCTTTCTAGCTTATTCTCACTTGGGGTCCAAGTCATTTAAAACAGTAATGCTCTAGAAAAGTCAGAGCTTATCTCAGGATAGAAATCCATCAGAAATGGACACTGGGAGCACAGCAGTGACCACTTGATCTGCAAACACAGACATGGTGGTCAGGTCTCCATCTCACGGCCATTGGGCTTACCAAGCTGCACTAGGGAGTCACGGCCCCTAATGACACCTGGCCTCGAGAAAAGCTCCCCAACCTTTTAAGAAATCTGGAAAACCCATAACCCCTTTACACCCATATGGGACCTACAACCTCCTTCAGAACACTTTGTTCAACATCCCTGTGGTCCCTGCAATCCCCCCAAAATGCAGGACACTTCAATGCCAACTGAACCCCATGGCCATCCCAAACCCATGCAGTCCTTCTGGCCACTTGGTGTCCCCACACCTCTACGGTGTAGCTGTCATCATCTCCCTTGACACCACACCAGCCCAGGTACCCACACAGCGGACACTCGCAGCCCCGAGGCAGCGCCCACAGCGCGGGCACTCTCGGCCTCCCCACAGCCCGGGCTGGGGCAAGCCCGGCTCCCAGGAACCGTTCCCACACCACCCTCAGCACCCCCACGCCTCACGGGCATGGGGAAAAGCTGTATGGGGCGGCATGGTCGGGTTTAACAGTGTGAGGTCTGGTTTAACTTCTCAGCTTCTCTGGGAAGGTGCTGGAATGTTCCTCCCTGTCCCGCAGAGGCAATGGCGCCGGCTCCAGGACGGGTCCGCCGCTGGCCAAGACTGAGCCACGCAGCGTCCGTATTAACGCCTCTACAACACTACGCTCGAATATGGAAAAAATAAACCAAAAAAAGCGACAATGCTTCTTGCAGAGTAAAATTCTTCAATATACTTGAATATACTTTAGTGCAAAAGTCACCATGCCCTTCCTCTCCATAGCAGCTCTGGAGAGGAACACATGACGTTTCCTTTTCTGTAAAAATGCGTCTCCTGAGGAAGCTGAGGATCAGCCCCTCATTGCGGGACTTAAGCTTTCAGTCGTTCGAAAAGACGATTTCCCTCCTCGATCATCTGCTGGGTAGGTACCTATCTTTCACTAGACCGAACAGAATGACCCGTGAGGTCCCTATGGAGCTCGCACTTGAGTGAAAGGCGGCGAGTCCGGTTCTGAGGGAACGCGCCGCCCGCTCAGCCCCGCGCCCCGAGCGAGAGTGGCGCTGGTAACGCGGATAAGTGGTTAAAAATGTCGGTGGGTCTGCCCGGGGGCGGTCCGGGGCAGGCGGAGGTGGGGCTGATCCCCGGCGGCCCCGCCGCTCACACCGCCCCTCGCTCAACTCCCGGCGGCGGCGGCGGCTCCCGGCGGCGGCGGCTCCCGGCGGCCGGTCGGACGGGGAGGGCGCCCGCGGGACAGGTAGGCACTGATCCGTCCCGTCCCGTCCCGTCCCGTGCAGCAGGTGCCGGGTGCGGCAGCCTCGGGGAGGCAGCGGGGCTGAGGCGGCATCGCTCCCTCCCGGAGCGGGGTTTGCCCTCGGCAGAGGCATCCTCCGGGGAAGCCGGTGGGATGCGCGGCCGCCCGCGGTGCCTCCGCCTTTGCGGAGCATCCCGGCGTGTTTGTCTCCGCGTTCGTGCGGAGACACCGGGATGGTGGGGCGGGATGCGGGAGCGCTCCCGCCGTCCCGAGCCAGAGCGAGTCTGTTCAGTTTCTCCTCAGAGCACTTTAATTTATTTATTTATTTATTTACTTTCCGCAAAGTGCCTGTTTTTAAAGGTCATCCTTTTTTCTTGGAAGGCTTTTGGCAGTCCTGGGCAGAGACAGGAGCAAATGTACGCCCTGGAATAGAGGGATGCTTGTGTATAGATGTAAATTAGCGTGACCTGCACGTGAAAATGCACATCTGTTTAATACCTTGATTTCGTTCCAGCATATGTCCCTCAGCAGAAGCTGCCTAGAGAAATTCTCAGTTGTGTGGTATTCTGCACAGATTTTCTTTTGGCGACAGTAGTAGCAGTGTAAACATTTCCTACTTTGTCTGTCAGCCAAGGAGTAGGTTCAATCTGGAAATGTAGGCACAAATCAATTAGGAAAAATATGCAGCTGCTTTTCCTAGAATGAGCTGGGAATGGACAACTTTCAGTAATCTTATTAATTACTTAAATGTTGCTGCCAGTCATTGAGTACTGAAGTGTAGTCAAATTGACCATGCATCTCCTAGAATCACGTACACCTCTGAAGTTTTTCCAGAGCACTAGCTTCTCACTATAGAATGAGTTTAAAACCTCACTTGGAACGGGTCTTTGGTATAGAAGATGCTTCATAGATTATTTTATCAAGTTGGTAACTGAGCTTTGGCAGCAGTGTTTTAGAAAGCTAATTAACATAATGGCTCTGTATAGGAAAAATGTTTTATTCCAGCATCTTGGAAGAACAAAGGAAAAAAATCTGAAAAGACAAGTCTGGAGAGTAACATTTTTTTCCCAGCAGATAAGCTGCAGACCTTTGCAGAAAAGTCTTAGATTCTTTGATTGAGCAGCATGTCTGATGTGAGACTGAAACTGAAAGCTGGCTTCAGTTGCCTTGTCAACATCCCTAAATGGTATTTTTTCCCCCAGCGCAATACTTGGAGGAAAGCATATGTAATTCGGTATGTGTGTTCTTCTTGAAGTGGAGGGAGTGAGGGTGCAGCCATCTGAGCTGGAGACAGAATTTAGCCAAATAACTATTTAGGCCAAATAACTATTGCTTGCTACTTACTGGCCCTGCAAATGAAGCAGTATTAGCACGTCTAGTTTGATTTCCCATCTCAAATCAGAAAATCCAGCTGGGCAGGTGTGCTCTAGGTTTTTAATAAGCTGGACAAACTCTAATTTAGGACCAGGTTTCTACTTGTTTGCCTATGTAACTCATGCACCTGTGCAGCATCAATATATGGCACCCTATGTAATAAACTTTATTTAAATTTTCTTACAGAGCCAACCATGTGGCCTTGTCATACAATCAAATTTAAACATGTGTTGCTCCCACAGGGGGTGAATCAGTGGCATCATATTAGAAGTGGTTGTTAATATGCTCTGGAGATGCCCTGGCTTTGTGTGTGGTTCCTTAGCGTGTGGTTTAGAGTCTGGAGTATTCAAGTCTCTAACAGCGCAGTTCACAGGACAGGGTATGAAATCTGCCTTCTTGCTCACTGATTACAGTCCAGATCGGGCAAAAAAATATTTCTGTACTGCAGGCAGCTCAGAAAGCTGACCTGTGTGAAGTCAGGTGGCTTGTCCCTCCCTGGAAACAGAGCTCCCCTTTTCTGGTGGTAAAATGGTCCGGAGGTGGCACAGCTCTCCAAGGGCAGGGCTGTGCACGCCAGGTTTCAGTCCCCACAGATGGAGACGGTACTGCCCTTGCCTTAGGGGAAGATGCCTTAGCCCTTGGTATCTGAATTTCAGCATTTAGATGTCTACTTAAAACTGGGATAGCCAATGCCGTCAGTTTGCATGTGGCTGGTTGGGTGGGAGTGGGCACCTGGAGGACCTGTCTGGGGGTTTCACTGTTAAATGAGCTGTTCTAGGGTGAGCAGAAGGGTTTAACCAAGTGAACAGTCCCCTGGTGACTTGCATAACCATGTTTTCCACAATCAGCTGTTCAGCTGTACGGGTACACTCACCCCCCCAAGGAAGCAAGTGCAGTTAACAAAAGCAATTAATTCATCTATGCAAAGAACACAGGAACTGTGCATTACCATACTTAAGTTTGATTAACATCTAGCACAGTTTGGAGTGGGCTTTTGACTGCAGCTGGTAAGGATCCCTTGAATTTATATTCAGATTACTTGGCAGGAGTTTTGCATGGTTTCTGTATGTTGCTTTTTCTTGTCTAGGCATTTTCATTTCTTGTTAGGGAAAGCAAGTGGCTTTTGAGGGAGGTAAAAACCAGCTTCTTTGTCTACATGCCACAGTTTTAGTCTAACCAAAGATGTGTTGGTTTAAAAACCCCAAAGTTATGTACATAGCGCTGTAAAATGGATGTGATCCTGTTTTTTTAACAAATTATTTTAATGGAGCACAGTGTAGATGAGTAGTGTTTCTTTAGGTACGGACAGGAATGGTGTAGTGAAATGACAAAGTTCTTACATCCTTACTCCTGTTAAGTGGTGTCTTCTTTGATGAATGATGCCAGTGGAATCAGATTTCAGTATGTAGTAGTTATGTTACTGACTCACTGCCAGGAATTTGATCTTGATTTTTAATACTAACAGATTAGTTTGTCAGTAATTAGTACTGACTTCATATGCTCCAGTCAGCATAGCATAAACGTAGATATAAGTGCAGTATTTTTTTCATCTATGAGAAAAATCTGTGTCTTGATATTCCAAATGTTGGGGTTTTTTTCCTTTTTTTTGTTTTTTGTTTTTTTTTCTTTTTTACTTGTGAAGAGAGTATGTATCATCTAAAGCCATCTGTCAGAAAACTAGAAGAAATATTCTGGGGTGGGATTTGCTTTACTGGAATAGCTTTATTGATTGTGTCAGCATTCATGTTAATTAACCCATTCAAACTGTCTGGTCTATAATTGATGTTTTGCCTGTGTAAGGATTTGTGGTTCATGCCTTTGGTTGTACACATTAAGTTATATTAAAATGTGGACAGCCATCTCTTCCAGTTTTATCAGTGTTTTGCATCTGATTGTCAGAGAAATTAGCCTATAGTCAGCAGTGAGATACCAATTCTGAGCTCTTTTGATGTGCAAGACAATGAAAACATACAACAGAAAACATAGTTTTAACTTTGACATTGACTTGCTGTGTGACCTCAGGAAAGAAATGTAATAATTTTTCTGTTGCTGTAAAAGAACACCGTTCTCAGCGTACCAGATAATTTTTGTTGAACATTCAGAGGTGCAAGTGTGCGCAAAATTATTTTTTCAAAGAAACGTAAAGACTTCACATTGGTGTGCCATTTTAGACTTAGGATCACTGGCACAAAGAGCTGTAGCTTGTATGGCTCTAGTGTCCACCACTGCAGCCACAGGAGATGTATAATAGCCAAAAATTGTCTTTCCTTTTATAATCTACACCCAAGACGAAAGGCAAGAGGAAGTAAGGAGAGACAACAAAATAATGAAGGCAGGTGTCAAGCTAAAGTCATGTTATTTTTCATCAAAAGTCCACTGAAATTCATACAATTAAAGGAATTAATAGGTGTTTTTAGATGAGTCTGTAAGTAGAAAAAAGTGAAGAACTGTTTCTCTGTAATGCCAATATATTGCCAATGACGGCTAGAACTAAGGCCTCACCAAACAAAGGGCCAACATCTTGTGAAGTACTAGGAATGCTGGGCATGGGTGGAGACCGTGAAAGGCAAGGGGCATCTCAGAGAAGCCATGACCTTACAATGATGCAGAAGGGTGAATTTGTCAGGCTGGACAAGAGGGGATCAGCAGGGGTTTGTGGTCTGGGTAGAATTGTCCAGGAAAGAGCCAGGGTGGCCCTGACCCATTGTGGTGCTGTCTCTGGGGCAGTGCTCATCTGGAAGGGTCTGCTCAAAGTGGCAGTGGAGGGTGTGCAGGAGGAAGAAGGCTTGCTCAGGCTGCCTAATAAAGAAAAAATATCCAGAGCAGGGTAATATGTGTTTAGGGCGCGTTTATGAGCAGTACCAGGGTGGAATGCCAAAGTGGGGCTCAGGAGTTATATTACTTTGGTGGACTGCAAAGGGAAGAAGAATGAACCGGACAGGAGATGGTAGTTTGCTGTTCCAAGCACAACCCCATTTCTTTTGGGAAGAAGCCACTGCTTCCCAAAGTTTTCTGCACATCACAAGCGTTATGTCATGAATTCTTCCCACGCAGTGCCTGTTTCTTCGGGGGTAGGTCCTGTAAGTCCTCTTCGGAGTGAGTGGTGTTGTATTTCAAGAGCAGTACGAGACAAAAGTTTCCAGTACAAAATTATTCAAGTATGGGCAGGAGGATGTTTTTCTTAATATGGTTTGGTCTCAGCCCTGTGAGACTACTTTTCATTAATGAAAACAGAGACATCCGTACAGGGTTTCAATAACTTCAGCATGTTTAAAGCAACTTTTGACGTTTCTCCTATACAGAAGTCTTCCCTATCTATTTTTCAGAATATTTTGTTGGCAGGGGAAGGGTTGGGTGTTCTTGGTGAATTTAGAAGATTTACAGAGCAAGTAGTAAAATAACATTGTCACCTGGCAAGTTACTTGTCTTTGTCCTGTGGAAATGTTTTGATTTTATCTTGCAGACGAATATTCAAGGTGGAGATAACTTGGACTTGTGATTTTCTTTTTTCCCATCCCCCACTTTTATTTGGAGCACAATTCTCTGCTGTCAGAGGGCATAGGAAAAGTGATTTAAAGTGATGTAAATAAATGATGGCTATGTTGCATTACTTGCCCCGCTCTTCATGT